GTCTTTTCCAACCTAAGTGATTCTATGACTCTAACTTCACTGCAAGAATTTAAACACACGGAAGACCAAGAAGAGAGTACAATTAGAAGATAAAGGTACACTGACTCATTTTTCTTGGCAGCTTTCAGTAAATAACAATTAAGCATGAATACTGGGAAACTTTTAAGAAGATACAACCACACCCACACGGCAAGGTGACTCAGAATCAAAGCCTCCCTCCCTCCCTCCCAATACAGTGAACTATGCCATGCCTGCGAACTAAAGGCAAGAAAAAACCCTGCAACATGCGAAAAATTAGCAACAATTTACTGAATTTCTCATGCAAGCAACTGGCAGAAGTGACTTCTTTCTGCACTGGACTAATGAACAGATATCTGAGAAAGATTATTTTTAACTTTCTGTCTTACTTCCTGGTGCAAACATGACTCTGCCTTCCCTCAAGGGATCCAAATGCAACAGAGAGAAATGAAGACTAAGAATTTACATAGATTCAGTGCAAAAAACGCTGTCACACTGATGCAAAATAAGGACCAGTCTGAACTCTGGGAGATATGGACAGGCTCTGCTTCCTTTCCAAAAATTTTGTCGTTTCACTATTCACAGAATGCTTTTAAGTGAAGGACAGAAATAAAGCGGAGAGGTAGACAAAGTCAATTAATAATCAACTTCCAAATAACATACTGATTTCATTACTCTTGGCAGACATGTGATTTGGATTAAGCCTGCAGTTCAACAGAAATAACCTCCTGCCAGAGAACCAACTACTTGGACATCTTAAAATTTCCCTGTATACCCAAGTGCTTCATTTTTTTCCCCCAAATCAAGGTGTAAAGATTTAATCTGATAAAATACTCTTTACCTAACAACTAAAATGCCCCAGCTATCATGTGGCACATTTGAATGCATCGTTGCAGTGATATGTAATGCTTGTCTTTAGTTGGGCAGTTTTTGATAGTTAAGTAGACCATTTGCAGCAAGGCAAATGCTACCAGTGCCCAAACACAACACGGCTAACAGGTGACAACCGAGGTCTGTACACGTAAAATGTTCTGCAGGATCCAACATGACTGAAAGTGGTTCCACTTTCTCACTTTTTCTGAAAGTAGCCTCCCTTTCCTGCATACTTTTCCCAGTACCACTTTGAGGCATATTTTCACTACTGATTTACCAGTTTGTTTATTAAGTTATCAAAGTTATCCTTGGTACAGTGTCTGGATTGTTCCTCAGAGATCTCCTTTCTCACAAAAGCTTGCTTAGTTCATGACATACGTTACACTACTCACTCAGATGGCTAGATATTTTCAGCTGACATAACATACACATCCTAAATGTCACCATAAAAACACTGATTAAAATGCACAGTGAAATACAAGAATGCTTTCCAGAGTTCACACATGACACTAAGTCTTATTTTGTAACACAAGGGCTTGAAAATGTTCTTCTTTTAGTACAATGATTTCAAGTTTAGAGGAAAGCAAGTAGGAAATGTGGTCTTATCGTAACAGTTCATCCCCCTACTCTCACTTACAATGTTTGCCTGAATGAGAAAGAGCAGGAGAGGCAAACTCATTCCTTTGCTACAAACACACAAGGGTTACTCTGTCTTTACTACATGCAAGCAGAAGAAAAACTGGCTCTAACAAAACATTTTGAGAGGTCAGCCTCTCCAAGGATGAAGCATTACAATGATGTACTAATACTACTGTCAACAAATACTACCAAAATATAGGACTAGAATAAATACAGCCTGCTTGCATGTCTGACAGGTGTAACTAATAGTTCAAAACAAATTCCTTTCATAGTAGTACACGTTCATACAGAACTACGCACTTACATGCCCCAGTGTACTTTGATAGAACAAGTCTTCTGAGTGGTGCCAAACACCCCTGTTTCTTCAGTGTCGTCAAAAAAGGAAGTCACGATTCCTAACCCTTCAGGTTCTGTATACAAATCAATTCGGCAAACCCTGTAATCCTGAAAAATGAAGATTGCCGTAATCACTTAATCTGTGCTGTGAGTTCTGTAATTAATGTGGATAACTACATCAGTTTTGAAACACCTGTCTATTTTAAATTGTTTCCCTCTTTGTCAATTACTACTGCTATTAGATGCCTATATTAAAAGTGTAACAAAGCCAGTTTTCCTGTCTCTGTTTGGACCAAGCCAGTCAGTCAACGACTACTCAGCATTTACATCATTTACTTTCTGCCATCTAGGCAGG